TCGCTCTCACACCCCCCGGAGATGGAGGACGAGAAGAGGGAGGCATTAGGGTGCGCATCAGCTGGGGGGACCCTCAGTGAAGGGAGGGTCAGGTACCATTGCGAGGGATGAGGGAGAGAGAGAGCAAAAGCGTTAGCACTGACTGAGGCGTGTCTTCCCCCTTGGGAGCCGTGGGGTCTACGGCACTGCTGCCTGCGAGGGGGGAAGGTGCCACACTGCCACTGCCCGGGGACAGCTGTATGGACATTGGCTGGAAAGAGGTCTCTCATCACTTTGAGGGACTAGCCGTTGCCTTTTGCGACGAGGCCCTCGCTCTCCGGGGTAGCTGCCATTAATATCTGGGGGTGGGAGGTGACACACACCACTACTCCCTAAGGAGAGCATGGAGAGGTGCACTAGTTTAGGGGTGGGGGGAGGTGAGGATGGGGTCCTGCTGGGGTGGGACGGAATCACTGTTTCCAAGGAGATCACGTCCACGGTAGCGGAGAAGGGCTCATGATTTGTGGGGGACTGTAATATTCCCCAACCTAGCCCAAGAAATTATTTTCTAATGGCAAATAACAAAACCTAAATCAAAGCCAATACTGAACCACAAGCCACACACCATGTGGTGGATTGTCCAAAGAATGTGTCTTCTTACGTTGGACAAACACACCCAGGAGCAAGCCTGTAAGGTACCTGTGCACCCCTTTAATTAACTTGTCCACAGAATGAATCTGAGTTTACTTGAGTAACCAGAAATATATTTTTAAAAAATCACTGCTTTATCAGCAAAATTGTTTTTTTTTTGTGGCTGCAGTACTTTCCCCATTGGCCTCTTGCTTCATTGAACAGTACTAACTGCATGAACAGATATCCAAAATGTGTTATTTTTGGCTCCTGACTCAAACTGTGCTCTGTACAGCATGAATGTTTCCTTATGGACTTATCTTGCACACTGACACAACAGTGTCTGCGTGGCCAGCCGGTTTTGCAGTGTTTATTTCCACAGCATCTCTGAGGAGAAGTAGAGCAAGCTCCATTCTGCTGATGGACCACCAAGGCGAAGTGATAAAGGCTGGTACTTATCTGGGACCAGCAGAAGGTGATGCTTGTGGAGCGCTCGTGTCACTCTATCTTTATGTGAAGCTCAGTGTCTGAAAACTGCAATGTGTATTTTGTGCACTGAATTCGGTCAAATGCTGGAAGTATTTGGCACCCTCACAGCCAGGGTTCAGGGAACGAAAGCAGTCAGTGAGACAGTGAGAAGAACACAGGTATTGAGTATCTGCAGGAAAAAAAAAAATCACTTTTTATCATTTGCTGAGTGATCTACTTTGCACTGTCTGTGAATACAGTCAGAAAAGCAGAAATAAAACCCAGTCTAAACGCAGGCCACATTGCATCAGACCAGAAGCCCATCTACAGCCATAACTTCTCTGCAGCGGTGGCTGTAGTGGAAATCTAAGGAAGTCTATGGGAAAAGGACAAGTGTAGGGTGATCCTTCCATGGTTTACTCCTGGCCTCCAGTGATCCATAATGCAAGGGCTTCCGGAAACATAGGTTCTATGTTTGTGTTTAACTCCAGTTCTTCTAAAATAAAGGCAAAACCACAGCTTTCTTTGTCATGAAGTTGCCCTATGTTTCCCTTCAGCTCTTGTCTTATCTATCAATTCATTCCAAATTTATCATTGTAAAAATTTGGTAGCCTGCCAGCAATGGCCTTCACCATGCAGCCCTGCTACATTTCCATCATGGCTTATCCAGTTTCATCTAGTTTCTGTCACAAGCTATCAAGGTAATAATTAATCTATGCCAGTAAAACCTGTGCCACAGGAGGACCAAATCAAAGCTGCTTGTTTCCAGAACCTGTATTGTTTTCCTTTGATCACTTTCAACAGCAGGTATGTAGGGTAGAGATTTGCCATTTAGCTTTTCTTCAGGCCCGTTGCTTGCTAACAGGGTGGGTCTGTAAGTGAATCCTGTAATCACCTTCCACGAAGACTGTTTGCTGCGCTGTTTCCCCTCCGTGATTTGACCTTTCACTCAGGAGGAGGTGTCAAAGAAGTAGTTGCACAGAAATGGTGAAAAAGTAACAGAAAAAGTAGGAATATGTAAAATACTGACACAATTAAAAATGGACTTTTGATTTTATAGACAGATCACATTTCAGACTGCTGGTGACCTTGTAAGACAAAAAGACACACAGGATGGAGAAGTCCTTGAGAGTAATGAAGACAAAGAATTGCAGAATCCATCCTGTTTCCCAGCCATTTTCGATTGTCATCTTCTCCTTTCTCCGAATTTCTCACCTTTATGTATGCCAAGTCCTTTACAAACTGAAAGTTTTTGAGGTTGTAGGTCTGCTCTTTGAGAACATCCAAGGGGAAATTCTGTCATCTCATACGGTAAGAGACTATATCGTATCTGTTATTTCTATGAAGCATTTGGACAGTTTTCTGCAGCTTGATGAACTTCTTTGCAGGTTTTAATCACATTCATGTGGCAAGTACTCAACGAACCATATTGATCTGTAGCATGTAACCATATTGATCTGTAGCAAGTGTACTTGGGATTATGGATACACTGGTTTCAGTGTTGGCTTCTCATCCCCTGCCTGGTAGATATGGAGGGTTCTGCAGTGATTGTGGTTATTGCTGAATGAGACATCTAGTTAGTGTATTCTGTGATGGAAGAGAGACAAATAAAGGTCTATTAGAGGTATATTTGAATCACTGTTAAAGATCTTTCTTCAATTTCTCCTGAGTGAAGTTGTACAGGAAGCTGATAGGAAAAAGCAGAATTTCCCTGTCATTTAAAAAAGAATATCATAGAGTTGAAGACGTTGGAGTCAATGAAGGTACTCAACATCAAACTCTGCTTGGAAAACTATCAGGACTTAAACTTCCCAGGCAGAGTTCCTCAACACACAGAAGATATTTCCTAGATGGTTTTGCAATACTGCTATACAGCCACATGCAGAAACACACCATGAGTGTTGCCAAAGGAGGAGTATGGCAAATGGGGCAGGGTGTTTTGCTTTGGATCAATGGCTGGTAGGCTGTGCATGGTGAGTGGCAAGCGTTGTGAGAAAAGAGGGAGGCTTGCTTGCCTGCAGCAAAGTTTCCTGGCCATTGCTGGTGGCGTAGAGACAGAGCCTGAAAGTTGCAGACGAGAACTGTGTAGCTTGATTCCTTCTTTGATGTTGGTGAATGCATGTTCCTCAAGTGTTTATCACACATGAATGTGAAATGATTATCTTAGATGTTTATTCAGCTTGTGTAAAGCAGACCTCACCAAGTTAATTCCTTTAACTTGCCAGTCCTGGCAGTAGACTGAGAAGAGGAACACTCTGAACTGACAAAATAATTTTCTTCTTTTTATTACATTTTGAAGACTTAAAAAAACCCCTTTTGAATACAGTAGATTATTCAGAACATATTAGGTTACATGTGTTTGTGTCTGCATATCTGGATATGAACTTGTATGTTACATTATTAAATATATCAGTCAATATATCAAGTGTATAGGATGGGAGTATATAGCCATACACAACCATATTGTAGCAATTTTATAGAAATCATTTCCTGGAAGCTGAGCACAGTCATTTGTTGACCTCCTTATATTTGCATGGAAATCTTCCAGTACCCAGCAGAATTTTTTTGAGAGACACAAAACAAGCATTAGTTAACGAAAACACCAACATGGATATCCAAGTCAGTGTATGACAAACGTATGTGATGGCACTGCAGTTTTTGTGTATTTTAAATGCAAGTAAAGCCTGCAAACCTCATTCTTCCACTTCCTTGTTTTTGTAAGTATAATGACACAACAAATACAAAGTTTGGATTTGTAGTTGTTATAGTCTGTCCTGGGCTAGTAACACACCTGGGAAGTCTCCTACTCGAAATGTGAACTTCAGAAATCTGACTTGTGCTTCATGCCCTTCTGCTGTTAGATCTTCATCTTCCACATTTGGAGAGTGGTGACAAAGACTCTCTTACCCTGTGGCCCTGTGTGTGCTGAGCTACTGCTGAGGATGTGCATGAGTAAGGAGGCTTAAAGTTTCTCTTGAAGGAGCTCACTTCTTGGCTTTAGTCTAATGCCCCAGTCTCTCCCATCATGGGCTAAGGTGGTTCCCTCCACCATGCTTCAGAGATACTGTCCATCACATGATCCCAAGCAGAGCTGTCTTATGTTTTGGGAAGATAACCCAAAGCTGTGTGCTCCGATAGCTCTATGAAAGACATTATCCCAAGTTACGGGCCTTATGCCAGTGAAGTTCAATGGGAAGACAGCATACCCCAAAATACAAGTTGGATATCATCAATTCTGGAATCTGTCGTGGTTTAACCTCAGTCGGCAACAAAGCACCACACAGCCACTCGCTCACTCCCCCCCACCCGGTGGGATGGGGGAGAGAATTGGAAAAGCACAAGTGAGAAGAACTCGTGGGTTGAGATAAAAACAGTTTAATAATTGAAATAAAATGATAATGATAATAATATGATAATAATAATACACAAAGCAAGTGATGCACAGTACAATTGCTCACCACCCGCCGACCGATGCCCAGCCGGTCCCCGAGCAGCGGCCCCCCCCGGCCAGCTTCCCCCAGTTTATGTACTGAGCATGACGTCACAGGGTATGGAATGTTTCTTTGGCCAGTTTGGCTGTGCCCCCTCCCAGCTTCTTGTGCACCTCCAGCCTTCTCAGTCGGTAGAGCATGGAAAACTAAAAAGTCCTTGGCTAGTGTAAGCATTACCTAGCAACAGCTAAAACATCAGTGCCTTATCAACTTTGTTCTCACCCTAAATCCAAAACACAGCACTGTACCAGTTACTAAGGTAGGAAATTAACTCTATCCCTGCCGGAACCAGGACAGAATCCCACAGAGTTTGTCAGACCCTTGAACTTCAATTCTTGCAGTTTGTGTGAAATACTTACCTATGAAAGGTTACATTTGTGGCAGTATAAATGCTTATTGGCAGCCATTCAAAATATTCTTTATCCCCTGTAAGAAATGAAATAATCTTTGTCAAACTTTATTCTCCACGTAGTGCTACTGTGTGTTACCTTCCACTGTACCTATTACAGACATATAGGGAATGTGCTGTTCTAAGAGGAGGTAATCTATGTAAGAGCTGGTCACCCTTGGCTCCCTTTGTAGTCAGTGGGGAGAAACAAGTACCTGCAGGGAGGGATTTATCTCACTTACTTCAGAAATCCTTAAAATGAGATAAATCCCACCAGAAATGCCCGTCTGGCACTATAAAGAATCCCTAAATGCCTAACCCAGACGCATGTGTCCAGGTGAAGCCCACTCGTGCTCTCTCTGTACTGCCCTGTCTCAGTTGTTGCCTTTTCTCATGGGTGGAGGCAGCTACCTTTTGGAGCACGGACTCTCCAAAAGCCATGGGGTTGCACAGTGTGGTAGCCAGGAGCAGGCCGTGTGGAGCCCCTCTACTCCATGGCTTCTCCCACTTCTGACTTCTACGCTTGAATCATTACTCTTCTGATACCTTTGGCAGCTTGTATAGGTGGGGTCAGAGCCCTTTAACTCCACTCCTGTCCCAGAGTATGGAAACTAATTAAAACCCTGTGTGTTAAAAAATGTGTCCTGGGAGACCGAAGTGATCCATTAGATTTGAGTCAGTCATTCCTCTTTACTCTGTATTTTCTAACTTTTCCCTCCAGTTTTCCAACTTCACTCCTCCTTTGGACGCTCTCCTTACTTTTCCTCCTCTTCTTCAGAGTGTCTATCATTTTCTCCATCACCATCTTCACTCGCTGTCTTTGTTTTCTTCTCTTCAGCCAGATCGCTATCTCAGTAAATGGAGCAATTCTTCTGGTAGAAGCGTGAGAGAAGAGGTCTGAGTCTGGATGAATGAAGTCTTCCAAGTATCCCCACCAAGAGATCAAACTAGGAGGGAGGACAAACAGGGTTGATAGTATCTCCTCCAAATTTTTTGCATTGCTCAGACACAGGACTAGGGAAAAAAAAATGCCATAAAAGGACAGCATTTTATCTGCTGCCACAGACTAGAAGACTCTACTGTCTTGATCACAGTCACATAAAATTAAATAATTAATCTTGCCATAAAGAACAGGCTGGGGGAAAACCAATGTTGCAAACAAGTAACATGAGGTGAGAAATTTCAGAAATTTCTACATATGTCAGGAGACCAATTGTTCCAAGAGATGAATAAATACTTAGACCCAATCTTCAGCACCAACTGAAAAAACTCAGCAATTGCACAAGTCATCCCTTTTTCTTCTTGAGAGATTTTAACCAAACTTCTACTTGTTCTTTTTTTCATGACCAAGCTTAGATCAAATATTGAAATAATTTCCTTCATAGTTAAAAACAGCTGGAAAGGGACTGGAAGTGGGGAGGGTGTCAGAACCCTCCAGACCCAGGCTGGCTTTTGGTGTGTTCATCGGTACGCTTAATGTACACACAACAGCACCTAGGAGATCTTCTTTGCTAAGTAGTACCCTGGCCAGGTTGCTTAAGGAAAAGACAGGGGACTCTCTGGAGGCTGAGCATCATTACGGCAATGTCTGAAGGGCAAATCTATGGCCAGTGTTTGTCCTCCAGCTGTTTTGTCATTAAAATAGCCACAGATTTGGCTTGACCAAACAGGGAAAGCAGGGTCACATAAAGGAGCTTAAACATCCTGGCAAATGCTCACCAGTATTGTCACCACATAGACACCTCTCCCCGTGCCGTCTCTAGGCCGGCGGGAGGCGTGCAGTGCAGAGCCCTCTTTGCAGCCTTGCTGGTACCCACAAAGACTCTTCAGTACTGGCAAAGGCAGAGCAAAGGAAAGTGACACTAAACCTCCTACTTGTGTTTTCAGTTTTACCCCCTTTAACAGATGAGCTGGCCCACAGCAAGAAAATATAGACTGGTGTGTGTCTGCCACAAGTTTTCGTCTCTTCCTTCCTGTGGACACTCTCTGTCTTTCATTCCCTTGAATCTCTTCCTTTCCAGCAGTATAACTAACCTCACGTCAGGAAAGATCCTCCTCCCTTCAGAAGGGATGGGGTTTTCTTTACCACCAATGGCTTCAAAACTACATCTTCCTTTTTTTAGAGCTGAAGCAGCAAACGAAGGTTCCTGAGCCAAATTTGCTTTGCCATTCTGGGCAAGATCCTGCAGCGTCTCTCAGTATAGGAAGCACCTGGCTCTTAGGTAAAGGCAGCAGCACTTTGGAGGAGGTGGTGAGCAGCCTGGGTACTGCTGGGCTTCTCTCTCCAGCACAGCAGTCATTTTGGTAGCTGTAGCTCACAAGTCTTGGCCTTACTATCATCTTCTTCACAAAGCTGCAGCGCCCTCTCTCCCCTTTGCCCAGGGTACTTGCCTGGGCTGATCTGTTTTAGGGTACCAACTTTTTCATTGACTGGTCCATCTGTGCTTTGTTCAGAGTGCTATTTTTGGCCTAGGGAAGCTCAGCTTCTTTCAGCAGAGATAACAACCGAATCATCTGCAACACCGAGTGCTTCCACAGGGAGAAAGCAATCCTACAGCTCTCCCTTATTTTAGACATTTTGGGGCAGTTATTTTTAGGCTTGATTACTAATAATTTCACTTGTGCATACCTTTTGGCTTTACTATGGTACTTAAAATGAAAAGCTACTTTAATACAGGGTTAGCAGAACTTCCATGAGGCACAGCTGTTCAGCATCCCACTAGGTACAGTTCACAGCATTTATAATTTTTTATACACACACACATAGAAAGAGGCAGACACTGAGCACAAATACGTGTGTATCTCAGGGCAGCAAAGTTGCAAGACTCATTTCCCACAGACTTTGGAACTTAGGCTCTGCTCCTCAGGTGTGTCAGGACTGGAGGGGACCTGCAGATGAATCCAGCTGCAGCTGCAGGCTGTTACTGCCCTGGCCTGGGGACATGGCCTCCTGGGCCTCTGGACTCCACGCGTCGTCCCTGCCCCAGGGCCATCACACCTGCTCCTGCACAGCCTGGGGTGGCTGGGTTAACCATATTTTTGCAAGCTCATCAAAACTGAATTTTAAAAGTGAGAGAAAGTGTCTGACAGGTTTACCCTGTGCTATTTAAGCAGTAGATTCAGCAGAGCACAGATGTGGTTCTTAGAGGAAATATAAAAGGATTAGGGAGGAAGAGGAAAGCATTACCGTAAAGAGGCACAAGTGCAGGACTTTGGTTGTCTTATGCCATGCTGTTGCGTGAGGGTATGTATCTGTGTCAGTTGTTTGCTCCCCTTGCGTGGTGGGTCACCCAGCAGAAACCCACTTTTCTGAAGGATTTGACTGTCCCATTTTTTGGAAAAATGAGTTTTCTTTACAGTGCTCTGGCTGTGGCCTGTGGGGAGGGCAGCGCACAGCACAGCAGGTTCATCCCAGGGCTGATCATGGTCACTGTGCAGCACAGGGGCCCCAACCCAGCCTGGGATCCCCAGAATGGAGCAGCCCCACAGTGAGCCCCGCTCCCACCAGTCACCCACCCTCATAGCCAGTCAGGACTCCAGGGGTGGCTGGAGAGGCTCTCTGGGAGTCCCCGCTGCACTTTTCCAAGCCATCCCCGGAGAGATCGGCAGTCCCGGAGCCAAGGCCAGGGTCAGAGTCGTTTGTTTCTCTCCAGCAAGTTTGCAAAGAGCAAGCGGCGTGCACGGCGCTCACCCAGCCCTGCACTCGGCTGGGGGGTGCAGCCCTCTCGTTGCCCCTCGGCCTCTCCTGCTGACCTTTTCTCCGCTGTTGCTTTTTGTCACACAGGGGATGTTTGTGTGTGGCTGTGAAAGGGGGTCTCTTCTTTGTGTCGTGGCCATCACCGTGCAGCACATGCCAAAACAAGCTGTGGCAGGGCGAGGGCATTGCTCAGGGACAGCCTCTGAGGTGCCGGGGACGGTGGCTTTACAGTCCCTGCCGGCTGGGTTTTGGCAGCACACGGTGCTGGCCATAGCCAGCAGCCCTCAAGCTCAGTGTCAGTGGTGGCAACAGCTCCACAACTTCTGTGTTGCTGCATATTTCAGAAAGCCTCCTCTGCCTCTTCATAGAGTAACGTGATTTAGATCAACAGTCTTCTCCCCTTTCAAGGGAGGAGACCTTAGAGTGAAGAATGATTGTGTTAGTTGCATGTGATAGGGAAAAGGAGCATGAGAGTACATGTGTGTTTGTTCCTCTGTATTCAAGACTGTCCCAAGCTTGTCTGTAAATGAGATGCTCCTTTGAGGCAGGTGTTTGCAATCTAAATTAGATGCCAAAAATACTTTGCAGACATGACAGCTAATCAAATGTAAAGCATGCCCAGAAGTAGACCGAACACCTGATGAAGGCTGCTAATACGGAGTCAAAGTCATGACAAATGTTTCTCTCTCCCTGGAAAAAAAAGTCAAAGAAATACCAAAGATGCCAGTAAAACATAAAAAAAAATCCAAAACACACACACAAAGATGCAATGCTTGAGGCTGAAAATCACCATTGTGGGCTCCATGAAGCATGCAGAATATAATTCAGCTGTTTGTTATATTATCTCAGATTATTTGTCAGGGATGAATACAACACTCTAGTGCTCTTCTGAGACCAACTCATTCTGCAGACTCCTGGTCACTCCAGAAGCTGCTGTCAGTGAGCTCTTTGCCTGGGAAGCATAGCAGGTCCTGTCCCATCTCTGTCACAGCTTGTCATTTACCACTCCTGGCTCCTTACACGTTACTAGGATCATGAAATTAATCTTCTCTGGTCTGCATTTGTGAAACTGACCTTTGTGTCCTGTGATTTGAATTTTTCAGACTTTTATTAGCACTGATGCATATTTAACAGAAGAAGAGGTGCGGTATTTCAGAAAGATGCTCAAATAGTAGCTGATACCTATAGCACCTGACAAAGCTAGCTTTTCAGAAAAATCAGCATGGAAATTTTGCTTGGGATTTTAAGAATAGTTTCTTGTTTTCTGTGTTTCTTTTACATTTGGATCTTATTTCTCCTGGTTATATGGGCTTGTTCAACACAGGCAATGTGACCAAAACAGCAGAAATTCAACAGCCTTTGCACATGTCCCTTCGGTGTCCCCTCCAGCTACAGTCACAAATGGGGGAGCGTTACATCTGCTGCAGCTCCCATAAGAGGGGGGAAGGCAGCCAAGATGTGAGTGTGGGCACAGGGAAGAGCTCCGCCACCGCCACACCAGAACATGTGTGGCATTGGATGGGGGAGGCAAAATAGGGAAAGGCAAAAACTAATTACCATCCATCCCCTCAGTGCCCAGGTAAAGCTGTGCCTGCATAAGCCCCCGCTAAACCCCCATTAAACTGTATGGGTGCACGCAGTTGTTCTCCCATCCGCCTCCCCGACACACACATTCCTCCCCACTGCCAGCTGCTTTCTAACAATTTCCTCACCTCTGCATTTTCAGCATGTAATTTTTGCAGGGTAATATCCACCTCTGCTGAAAAGCGTCTCAGATTTGTGTTGAGTATCATGAGGAATAGTGTGGGGTACTCAAGTGGGGCATCTCCCAAGGTTTAAAAGTGTAAAAATCTCAGCTGTCTGTCCTTAACTAACAAGTACCAGAAGGCTAAAGTGTTGAGCATTGCAGTGCCAGAGAAACCTGGTCCAGGGCAGCACAGCATGGTGGGATTCAGAGACGTACCAACAGCAATAGCACACTGCAGACTGTTGCTGTGCTGGTTTCACTTGGCCAAGTCACATATTGTGCCGCTTGGAATTAAGGGACATGGAATAGACCCTCCTCGGGGTGGTGTTGGGTGCATGGGTTTGAGTTGATTTTTCTGCTGTTTCACTGTTGACCTGGTCATCTGGGAAGCCATGTTTGAGGACAAGGCTGAGTCTGCACCTCACTCCTGCACAGACAGAGCTCACTCACTGTGGTCGCTGGACCGGTAAGTGAAAAGGAAGGGAAAGTCACCTTAGTGGTATTGCTGGCTGGATGGTGAGAAACATGTACATTTAACTTCACCCAAATTGAAGTGAAACCTGTTTCCCGGTCTTTACTTGAAGCTTCACCTCAGCCTTTGCTCACACAGACAGAGCTTGCACACAGAGAAAGGTCAGAAAAAGCACCAGCAAACAAGTGCTTGTGAGAAGGGCTTGGGACAACTGAACATGCATGCGTGTGCATGCGTGTGCATGCATGTACACATCTGTGTGTGTTTGCAGGTCTTTTGCTAGCATGACAACGCCAATTTACACTTTGCCCTGAAGTCATGGAATTATGAAAAACTGGTGTGAGACACAAATGAAGCCCTCAGTATAAATTTTCCTTATTATTTCCTACTATTTAAGTCCCTGAACCATGTAAACAAAGAAGTCACTAATAAAGTTTTGACTTTTCTCAGAGCATTGGGTTCTTTATGTGTCACTTCACCACTAGTAGCAGCCCAGTTCACATTTTTGGCCAAAACAAGCAGGAAAGTCTGTAATGTCACAACATTTTGAAATACAACCCCTCCTGCACACACACTGCCCCTCAGTCTGTCTTTCAACGTCCATCCTCTGGCTCTTCCTTAGGCTCCTCAGGGCAGAAACCACCTTCTGACCAGGTGTTTGTACAGCAGCAGGGTCCCCCAGGATCAGCCCCAAAAGCCTTCTACTTCCAAAAGCCGACCCCAAACCAAGAGTGTGGATGCCCAAGCTGGCAGAATGATACTTTTATCACAGGGTTTTGCAGCTCTCCTTTCAGGTTTAGAGATCCTGGAGCAGCTCAGACATCAAATGTAAACTAAACTGGAGATAATTTTACTCTTCTCCAGCCCAGAGGAGGGGAGGAATCAGGTCCTTCCTGAAATGCCATTCAAAAAGAACATTTTTTTCAAGCAAGCATCCTTCTTCTGTGCAGATTGGAGAGATGGGTCCAAGAAGAGCAGAAAACAAAAACCTTGTGACGTTTGCATTATTTTGTGCACTTTCTCTTAATTCAGCATGCAGGCTGACATGGAGAAGTTTTTAACATTGAATGCCTGTGGCAGCATTTTAGATACCGAGGCAAATGGTTTCTCCTATATGGGGAGCTTGTTCGGGGAAACTTATCTGGTATATCATGACTTCTCACATATTTTAGTACACACTTGCTTGGAAATATGCTTATGGTAGAGATATAAAATACAGCTAATTAGGAGGAAGTGAAAGCCACAGAAAGGTGTTCTCGTTGGCACAGCATTCAAAAAAATTATAAAATAATGAATAGTGAAGAGGATGGAGAACTCCAAGACAGATAGAGTAATTCTTTTACCATGAGATATTTATGTGTGTTAAAATACAAGGGAAAAATCTGGAGCTTAGTGGGTCAGAGGAGAAGCCTAACTCCCTTTGGTTGTGTTAGTCTCAAATCTGTGAGTGCACCCGTGTAACCTGTCCCTGGGAAGATGGCAATGGAGCTCCACTCATCACAGTGTCTCGCTAAAAGCACCATGGCATGAGAGTTGGAAGAATATCGTCCAAGCAAGGCGTTAGGAAAGACGCTGCTGCACTCTAAATTATTGGGTTTTCACCTCAGTGATGAAGGTCTTCACCCCAGTGCCTCTCCAGACCAGCTGAAGCCAGTCTGTGCAGTGGAGCAGTCCTAGGTGGGGCAGTCCCCTGTAAATGGGCTATTTCTGGTGGAGAGATACCTGAAATCATAGTAAAACTGTTAGAAAAATAGAAAGCTAGCTGCAAGAAAAAATAGGAATCTCTGGTGTTTGCAAACATAACAGTGAATGTATCCTTGTTAATGCTGGCTACTGGACGGAAATGGCTGGTGGGTAAATGTTTTGTGTATCAACAAATATCTCACTGTTCTTCCCCTCATGGCCATGAAGAGAAGAAGGAAAAAGCAGCTCCTCTGCCCCCCTGAGAGGGACAAGCACAGACTCTGTCTAAAGGAGGGCAGAGGGAACGGGTGAGCAATGCTATACCCAAGGGTGTGCGTACCTGCCTGCCTGAGCACGACAGCTCCCTGCTAAGCCCATCCCTGCATGATGGGCTGAGGTCCCAGGTGGTGGCTTTCTTGGCACTTTAAGTAAAAGAGAGCTTGAGACTCCACCAATTCACTTCACAGCAACATTTTGCAGAGTCAGTAGGTGAAGGTTAAGGTCTTAACCCATAAAGATTAAGGTCTAGCAAAATCAAGAGATGAGTACTATTAATGCAAATGTTACACATGGAAGCCAAATACCACATATTTCTGCGGCTTGCCTCATGGTTTTTCATTGCTTCAGGTTGGCAGTGTCAGACAGCTTCACAGCTAGAGGGGAAAACTGCCAAAGGCTGTTTTTCTACTGTTTTCATATCTTGAAGTATCTTTTCAGTATAGCTTCACAATATCCCACCAAAAAAACCCAAACAACCAACCAACACAAACCTCCCTTTTTCAAGCTGGTTGTTGCTCACCACTGTTCTCCATGTGCCCATCATCACTTTCAAATGAAAACCAGCACCTCTGTAAATTGGACAGGGTGAGAGAAGAGCAACCATCAGTTTTCTCCAATTGGAATTTATGGATTATGCTTTCTTGCAGAAAAAAACAACCTTCTGAAGAGTTTAGTGGCACCTGAAAATACTAGATATTTGAATTATCATGTTTGCCACAGTTTCAACAAATACTATTTTTACTATTTAAAATTTTATACTAAAAATGAGATAATAATCAAGATAAATTCTCCCTTAGTCATGGAAAAATGCCCCCAGCAGAGTCTCACAGAATGGCTCAGGAGACAGAGGCACATCTTTCATTAGAATTAAAATCTAACAAAGGACACAGTGAACACCCGAACATGAGAAACATCAAACAAAAAAAATAACCCATTCATTTGATCTTTTAAAAAAATGGCAAATCTGGAAAAAACCCTCAAATTTTCATAAAAATGTTGCTGTTCACAGTGCATATCCCGATTATTTTTTAAAATTTTCTCAGACAAACATATCATACCCGCTCTGTTACTTCTCCTTTCTGTTGCTTCACATCAGCCTCCAGGCAGTCGGTTGTGGTGGATGGCTCCTGGCATTTATCCACCTCTCAGCCTCCAAACAGGTCCAGTGCTGAGAGACTGTGGGTCCTTGCAAGAGGAAAAAGTACTACATCTATGCTTCCTTGCCTCAAATTAAACTTTATTTCTTAAGTACTACCATGTCTTCAGGTTCCTGGTCAAATGTGCTTTGAAGTCAGTGGAAGAACTACCATTGCTTCCAATGGCTTTTGAATACCTATCACCTTGCAATGCTTTGCAGCGTTTTGTTGTTGTCCACTCTTCCATTGATTTGTTTTGTGCTGTTCTCCACACCAGCACGAGGAATAAGGTTCAGAAGTCTCTGATCCTCCTTCCTCTTCATGGTTTATCTTCACAAAGCTTTATTTCCCATTCTGACATTGGGGGGGTCCCTGAAGCACAGTCCACCCATTCTCCCTGTGTCCTGAATAGCAACAGCAGCAGCTGCTGAGCACTTTAGGGGGCCTCCAGATAAAGGGAAGTCTTGTGTGACTAAACCCAAGGTAGGAGCTCATGTCAGGCAATGCATCATGCTTAGGCTGTGTTTACATTAACATTTTTGTAGGGAGCAATAGCACGATTTTAAAGCAAACCCCTAACCATCTCCTCATATCACACTTGGGCTTGGTCAACAGAATGGTTTGTGTGTGAACCAGGTGCCTTCTGGAGAAAAGCAAAATGGGAAGCTCTGCCCAAGAGGCACATCAAGTGGGCTCCAACCTGTAAATGTGGACACGAGGGTTTGAACCATTTACTGACCCCTTGAGAAGAAACAAAGCAAAGCAGAGGCACAGTGGAGACATTTGATCCAGGGGACCATTCCAAAGCTTGTTCAGAAGATAGCCTTTCATCCGAAAATGAATGTAGAAGAAGGGGTTGCAGCACTGGTGGCTTCAGGCTACGCACCTGCCCCTACTACACTGGGGGGGTGCAGCCCTGGAAGGCGAGGGGCACCCACCCACGGGGACAAGCACATCCTCTCCCCAGCCAGGCCATCCAAATTCACCATGCTGAGTCTGTGACTTTGTTTCCAAATTATCAAGTGGATGGAAAGTTGAGCTACAATGGAAAAACAATACATCTAAAACCTAAATACTGTTTTTTCTACTCCTAGTAAGTGTCCAGGTTTTGACCATTTTGCTGAAGAAATAACAAGGATTTGGGGCCTTAAACTCAGCTTTCTCACACTGGGAAATCACTGACAACCACGAGTGCGACTTGTACTACTCACACATCAGTCCTGGAGCAGAGGAAGCCACAATTAGTGCATGGCCTGTCTCCCTCTATCTGCACATCTGGGGCTATTTCCCAGAAGGTCACTTCTGAAGATTCACCTCCAAACAAAGAGCATAAAGCAAAGTACACACTCACTGCTATGTGCCACGGCTTCTCCTAGAGGACAATCGCCCTGCAAGCTGCACACAATAGAGTGTTTCTTCCAACACAGGAGGCTAAATCCCAAAGAGAGAATTACGAGGTGCCTGAGTCACGTTTGCTACCTCCTCATCCATGAGAGAGCAGTGCACCCAGAAGTAGGAAAACACTGAAGAACAAGGGGGTTAAAGCAGAGAAACAACTGAAGTCCTATTTCCATGTTAAGTCCAGTACACCCACCTTACTATACAGACTTGGTAAAATCAATGGTATTTTTACCTTTGATGACACTGGGAGTAGGAGATAGCTCTGCATTTACAGGTTTTACATTGGCTGACATTTTTAACCATTTTACAGGTTTTGCTTATTAGTTTTATCATTAGAATAAAACTAACTATCGTTAGAATAGAATGAACAGGTTTGTGAGAGATAAGGACATAAGTGCAATGCAGTTACTTAACACAATTAATAAAAGGAAGGACACTTATCTTTCTATAACACAAGAAGAAAACCAGACACAAACATATTCTTGAGCTTTTTTTCTGCATATGAAACTGCCTCAAAGGTTCCTTTGTCCTCTTTCTAGATTGCTCATAGAAATGCCTTTCTCAAGCGGTGATTATTCATGGTTTCACAATGGACATGGAGGTCACTATTAGACTCAAAAAATTAAAACCTCCAAATTTTTCTTTTACCATTAACTTCAAATATGGAACAAAAAAAGTCTTTATTTCCATCAATAATAGATAAGGGTCAAAGGCTGCACATTAAAATCCCCTCCATTAGGCACAGTCAATTGAATTTTGAAGTTTGGTTTTCTATTCTGGAGTCTTGGTTGGGAACTAAATGTAAGAAGTCACATTTCCTGGAAAAAAAAAAAGCCTGAGGACAAAGGGACCTGCTGATGAGTGTTCACACGACTCTGGGCTACGGCAGCAATACGGACCAGGTTCTGACTCCTAGCTCTAAGGAGGCAGTGATGGATGATGTCCCAGTGTGAAGGCTGAGCAGTGATAAATGAGGCAGCCACGCTGAGCACACTCAGTGTAGCATGGTAGTTTTACAACGCATCATAAAACAACACTGGCTGCTGCTTTGATGACAAAACTCACAGAGGCTGGAGAGGAAATATCAGCTGTCTGTGATAAGGCATTGGAAGGTCTGGCTGGCAACCGACTGCAAACAAGAGCAACTTGCTGGTGCCTCTGCTGGGAGAGCAAGCATAGCCATTTGGTAGGTAACGACAGCTCATGCCTTTGCTTTGTGAATGGCCATCGAGGGGCTGTGGGAGAAGAACGTTGAGCAACACAGGAGAGAAAGCCTCTGAGGTGTTTTAAGCTTTGGTCTCAGACACACAAGTATGGTGGGACATTTGGGACCTTGCTCCTGGACTTTGGAAAGAGATAGGTGCCAAAACTGGGTGATACAAAATTCAGAGAGATTAACTGGGTCTGGGTTCATGTTTGCATTGGTCCTTTGAATGGATTTTCCACATTGAAGATATGAGCCCTCAAGCCTGGGTGAGAGGAGAGTGGCCAGATGGCACATCCCTGGTCGCAGGGGACCCATCCCTGCGATCCGCAGATCTGCAAAAGCAACCAGGGCCGGAGCCGGGTCTGGCTGAGACAGGGGAGGTGGTGCAGGCAGTGGGAGG